ACAGACAACTACGTGCATCTCTCAGTGCCCCTTGCTTGCTGGCGTTAAGCCCTGAGACCCCTTGACAAGGCGGGCCCGCCCCCACAAGGACCAGACCCACATTGCTGTATTTGAGGGAAAGCTGTAGGATTTCCTCCTCCCCAAAGCTGCAGACATCATCAAAAAAGTCACACTCTGGGAAAAAACTTTCAACCACTCTCTGACACTGCGGGTTCTGTTCAATGCTAACGTGACCTGCCATTGGCAAACCTAGCACATCGCATGCCACCCTCAAAGCACCTATGCCATCGAACAGTCCTACACTAAGAACCTGAACGAGGTCATGTTCCTCGGGAAGATCACCCCTGCAGACCGAATTGAGGGCCGCATGGCCAAACTCACTAAGCCCCTTGGATGCACACATTCCTCCCCCAAAAGATGATGCGTCAGAGCAAGTGACTTCACCGTCAACCTTTGCACGGAATTCCATCTGAGCAAGTGGGCAGAGAAGGATGAAACGAGCAATTTCGACCTTCACCTGGTAGGGCAGGGCTAGGCGTACCACCGGGACCTCACCTTCAAATGCCTTCATGTGCTCAAAAACAGCATTCAGTGAACAAAGCAAGGCCCTTCTAAACATGCAGAGATACACAAAACTCCACACACCACTTGCAATTCCTTCAGGGTCGATTCGCCCCGCATCAACAGTTCAAAGCCCAACTGGCAGTACTGCACCACCTTGGTGGGTTTTGCCATGGCGAAACCCTGTTCGCCATCAAGCAGGGCTCCCTGCATTTCCCCCAGTACGTTGGACTGCCTTCTTGGGGTGACGAGGAAGTCCCAACTTGTCATAGGCTTCACGGAGTTGTTCAACCTGCGAGGCCACCGTTCCCTTGATCGTTTCTGCCAGGTCCACCTGAACTCGTTCCAAACAGTCGAAATTGTCAAGGTAGGTCCTGTACAAATGGTCCGAACTAGGTAACCCTTTGTCCTTGCAAATTTCACCCTCCCCACCAATTGCAGGATGACTCTGCTGTGCACTGAGGCGTACCACGTTTCTATGGATGTGCTGGGCGATCGAGACCGAGTTCACAAACCCCATGGGAAGCACCTTTGAAACAAGAACACATGACTGACCCCGCCATCTTTCAGGCACCAGGGTCTCGGGCAACATGCGATTAAACCCCAAATATGCTTTCCATGCATCAGGTACAGAGAACAAATAAAAGAAACACCGGATGTCCTCGCTCGATAAAAGCACCACTTCTCCGTCTTCCAGCAAATAGCCATTCATGCCTGAAATGGCTGGTAGAGTGCTTACGTCTCCCGCGAGGGGTCGACACAAAGCATTCACCGGTGTCAAATTCATAATCAGCCTCTGTGTTTTGATGCCGTTCTCAAACTCCCCCTTGCCAACAGCAAATAGTCCATTAAGCACAGGCTGCCCGTTCAGATGATACACTCGGTCCAGGGGCATAACTTCCGCTATCCCCCGCTCCAGGAGCCCTGCTGCCAGCAGCTCCCACTGTCCTTCCTGTACCATGACCCGGGGGGGAGTAGTATAGGTCCTAGCCTCCTCTGGTACCAAGTATCGTTCAAACTCCTGGATGTATGCCAAAGTCCCCAACCGGCAAAAATCCACCAAAGGCAACGAACCAACCCCCTCCGGTAAGGATTGCCTGACGGCCTCCCATGATATTTTCTGCGCCATCTTGATTTCTTCACCCTGGTAACTCACCCCACGTCCCTTGAAAAACGAATCAAAATCAATCGACCCATCGGACACACCCCACATGTGATTACGATGCACAAGTCGCGACACACTTTTTTCCGCTCTCGAACGAAGTCCAGGTTCATCTTCGTGAGCCTTCGACCTTGGAGAATTCGAGGAAACCGTCACAGGCGCTGATGCCCCAAATCCAGCCAAATGATTGAGGGCCATGAACGCCCCACGTGTAGCCTCCTCCGTCAGCCGGCGCGGAGCCCCTTCTTCCTCAAGCCCCTCCATCCTCACCGTGCGCAGTGGGAACAAAGGGTTGCGCCGATCCAGAAGGGTCTCCTTGTTGGAGCCCATCGCCTTTCTCTCTCCTGCCTTTCTCCTTGTCGCGATCTTTGTCTTTGCTCTCTCCCTTCTCTCCTTTGTTCTTCCCCTTCTCTTTGTAGCGGTCCTTGTAATCTGGGTATTTCCCTGTCGACTTGCCATAGATCTTGTTCTCCTCGTGAGCGGTTCTGCCCGCTTGATGTAACTCCGATGAGCTCGCCAATCCATAGTTCTCCACCTGAATCAACTCGAGCTGCTTTATCAAGTCGACCTTCATTCCTTTGTCCAAAGCCTCCAGCGATTTGAGTCTCTGGGACATCACGTCGCAGGCGGATGCCACCTTGCCTTGAACCATCAGGTCCAGGGTTGCGGCCCAATGGATAGCTTCTCGATATATCACCGGCGACATGGCTGATCCCATCTGTTGCCTCACGTATTGGGATGTAAGTGGTTGCAGCTGCTCGGTCGTGCCCGCCATTGCACCCATCTGGAGGAGCATGCTGCGTTGTGCATCCTGCAGCAACTGAGCTGTCAAGACACCTGGACATCGCTCCCAGATCCTCTGGGTGCTGGTCTGAGGCGTGAACAGTTCTCCGAAATGGCCCTCGCTCTTGTCGAAATCGCTGGAGGAGTCTGTCGTCTCGGAACTCCCACTCGACGAGCTGTCCCTGTTTCGCCCCTTCTTTGTCAGCTTCTTTGCACGGTGCCTGAATCTCCTCCGCTTGATGGGGTCTGCATCCATCCCTGTATTGCTGAAGAGGGTCTTGTGATCTTTCACGCTGTCGATCCTCAGCTTTGCTCTCTTCTTCTTCTTGTTCTTTTTCTTCCTCTCGTCGGACTCCCCCGAAGTCCCAGGCCCTTCCTTTTTTGCATCGTCTCCTCGTAGATCTGTCAGACCTCCTCTGCCTTTTCCTCGAGCAGCCGCCTCGGCTCTCACTCGCTCGAGCTCGTCTCTCTCGACTTCGGCCCTGCTGCTTTCCAAGTTCTTCTCCCATGCCACTTCTCCTGGATGGTGTTGTCTGATACTCGTGACATGCATGAGGCCATCCTCCCACGTCCGGCGGTCGCATCGTGCTCCACATAGATGAAGACGAACTGCCTTGGAGGCCACCCCACTGATGTACTTCAGCAACGCCTCGCTCGTAGTTCCCACTGCCTTTGCTAGGAGCTCTCTGTCTCCCCGGCTTGCCTTTAGTTCGATCATCTCGACAATGCAGTCGGTGGCCTCCTCCCAATACTCGCCTTGCACTCGAATCAAAGGCCATGACTCCAGCTGCGCCAGGGTGACCTCGTCGGCCTGTACCCAGGGATCCTCCAGCTCCCCGTCTGGGGCGGCAGGCCTTCTCAAGACCCGGCGCCGCGCCGCCTCGGCCGCTGGCCTCCGCTTGGGCGCCATATCCTCTGCCTCCTCTGCTGCTCTCTCCTTCTTCGCCAATACTCCTGGTTTCTATAGGTGTGCTTCTTGCCCTTAGATTTCTTTTTCTTTGGCTTGTTGCTGTAGGCCCCAGTCGGATCAGTCCACCTACCCCTCCCGAAGCCAGGAGGGGGCCCGGGTGGTTCCCGGGGCTTAGGCCGCTCCTCTTCTGCCTCTCCTGGTGTGGTCCCTCCTTCCGGCTCACACTCCTCACTCTCTCCGCCTTCCTCTGCTGCCTCTGTTCTCGGTGGTGGACTTCTCGATGGCGTTCTCGGCCTGCGTCTCTTCTCTCTCCTCCTCGTCCGGCTACGTGATCTCCTGCGTCTACCTCGCTCTTTGTGCTCACGCCTAGAGTCTTCTTTTCTCTCCTTCCTGCTGGATCTCGACTTGGCTTCCTTCTCACGGACTTTCTCCTTTTCTCTCTTTAACTCTGACTTGTTCTCCTCGACGTCGACCAAGGGCTCTCTCTTCTTGCGTGTCTCCTTGTCTGACTGCTGCTCCTCCTTGACCTCTGTCTCGGTAGTGGTAACCTCTCCGTCGCGACGATCTGTCCTTCGCAGTCGGGCTAAGGGTGGCAAACCTCGCCCTCTGCTCTCTGTTCCGCCCTCCTCTTTTACAGGCGGAGGGGCTTCACCAGCCCCTGAGGTGTCTGGCTCCCCAGACGCCTTTGTACCACCGACCCAGGAGCCTCTGGCTCCCGACCTCCTCTGCTGGAGGATCCAGGAGCCCCGCTCCCGCTCTGCTGGACCGAGAGCGCCCGCTCAAGCACTCTCGTGTAAGCGGCCTCGAGGATCGGCGCCGCCTGGTCCCGGACCTCGTCTCGCGATCCAGGGCCTAGTAGCACCGACGCCAGCCGCGTCAGCAGGGTGCAAATGCGGCAATTGCACGCCGCCAGATTGTGCTCCAGCCGGCTCATACGCTGAAGCCAAAACACTGCAATGAAAATTACTACCATGCTCGTTTTAACGTACGAAACGACGGACCATATTCTGTGTGTATGCCCATGGCCCGACTCAACAGAGAAAACCACCTGTCACTTTGAAGTCTCCATGTTTGCCATTTCGGGGGGGCACTCTAAAAACCATGGGGTGCTGGTACAAAACAAACATCTTCCAAAATCACCCGATCTTTGGTGGACAAAACACCTCCGTTGGTTGGACCCTGGCTCCTCGGTTGTGAAAAATCTCTTCTCCCCCCAGAGTCTGAAAAGGACTGGGCGGTTTGGCTGAGAAGTTCGGACCCCTTTCAGATCTTTTGATGCATAGCTGCATGCATGTAGCAACCAGTCCAGTAGTTCAAAGATTATATAATCTCTTTTATGGTCCCCATGGATGCGTTTTCGGAGCCCCCCCTGAGCCTTTCCTGCCAATCTCGAGCCAAAGGGACAGCACGCATCGTTATTTTCAACTGCTCAGCGGCTCAGCGAGGCAAAAGTAAAAGGGGCACCCAAGACTCTGGCAACTATAGCCATTACTGGCCGTACCATGCCGTACCTCTCACAAAGTCACCCTCCTACTGGCCCACGAATGGCTTCCAGGCTGAAGTTTCCGTCACTCACCCACCCGCCTACAGCTTGCAGCTCCGACTTGGAGGCGGAGATGCAGGCTGGCACCCCCAAGTAGAGGTCGGCCAGGGCCATCTGGATCCGCTCCTGGCTCTAAAGGTCCGCTTCGTCGGGTCCGCTGGGCTGGGTGTGTGGGGTCGTTCCTACGCCGCTGGGCTGGGCAGTTCGCTCACGAGGCCTGACTATGCCTATTACGGGCTAGCCAGAGGGAAACATCATAGACATGGACAACGAATCATGTTGCAAAGAAAAAACCGTTCGCATGTTCGATTGCAATGCATCACGATGTATGCTAAGGCACCTTGAAAACCATGCCAAACATAGGCCAAAGGGAGAATGGACAAGCACTGAGAACGATGAATTCGACGTATGTCCAAGCATTTCAAACAGGCCTCCATGTGTTACAACCTTTGAGATCCTTTGAGATGAGTGATTAGTGCTACTACTCCAAAAAAAATGTAGCCCACTTGCACTTGAGTATAAAATAGTATAAAGATCCAAACGTCCCTGGTCATCAGGATGATCTGAGAGAGCGTCATGGAACAACATGAGACCAAGAGCGTTCCATGACCTGCGCTCCGCAGCAGCTAAGAAACATGCTTATTAGGTGCTTATTGCATGTCGGGGTGGTCAGAACATCCACTCATTGGATGGGACTCAAAACGTCTTGGGGAGGTCCACTGTGTCGACCACAAAAGCTCCGTGATTTCACTCCACTCTGACGAAAAGGGTCACCCTGCCTGTGTTCTCCACTTCTAACTCCTTAATTACTGGCATATACAGTACATCATAGAATATACTAACTCCTATCAAAGGCATGCAATCCACCAAGCAGGCACCAGTTCTAGCGGAGGCCGTCCTCTTCCGAGAGGCTCAAGCTCTTCAAGCTCCGCAATTTTGGCGTCTCGGGCACCAAATCCTCGGTGATCGCTGCCGGTGGGGTTCCTGGGGGGGGGGGAACGTTCCTCATGGTCGGGACCAGGGTCCCGACCGGGTGCGGGAAAACTCCTGGAGCTTGAATAGGCCATTCGCCCTGACTGATCCAGGTCATCGGCCATCACCCTGTTTGCATAGGCTTCCCTACTCTTTCGGGGCAGTCCGTATGGCCTGTCTTGTACGATCTTTGGTTCATTTGGTGCTGTCACCCCAGCATCTTGGAATAGCCGTGCTGGATTACCACCGATAGGGTACTTCGAAGGTGGGGCCGACTTTTGTGCCCAAATTGCCTCAACCTGGACCTCCTGCATCCCATGCTTGTTTCTGAAGAACTTCCAACCACTTGCAAAAGTACTTGAGGTATACGGGTGCTCTTGGCGATGCGCATGGTTCCAAAACACAGGTTCCGAAGCAGGCCTGAAGCACATCATCTGTCTGGTGGGCATGACTCGTCCCGGAGTCGTCTCACAGAGACGCCCATTTCTGCAACTTCCCCGCCCAGGGCAGGAGACCAAAAGGGGCAAGACCGAAGCAACATGAAGATCGTAAATGCAAGCATCTGCCGGACTAAAGACCATGCATGGAATAGTTAGTCACATTGTGAGAGATGTGTATAAGTATGATATATGTATATATATATATACATTAGTATATGCGCGTGTGACACAACTTCTATCTATCAATATGCGTGTATCACACATCGCCCTCCACTAGGGTGTTGTTGGACTGGTTTGTGTCACATTCATGCGACTTTCTACGCCAATGGGCCGGATCTTCGTGCTCACGCATGCATGACCCCCCCCCCAATTTTGGCACGCGTCCCACGCACTGGGGAGGGTTCCCTGGGCTCGGCTGAGGTCTTAGCAATGACCTCCAAGCTAATAGCGATGGCCTCCACCTAGTAGCTTCTGGTTACTAGTAGCGATGGCCTCCAAACTAATAGCGATGGCCTCCAAGCTAATAGCGCTGGCCTCTACGCTCTTAGTTCGTCCTCAAATCAGCTCAGGATCCTCCCGCAACACAGGCGCTTCAGCTCTTGGCTTCTCCACCGCGCCTAGGATGCAGCTGGACAATCTGTCCACCAAGGCTTGCCACTTAGGCTGTGGAGCCTCATCCTCAGCCAGCGGCTGAAAGCAGCAGGCTGCCGGGACTTAGAAAACGGAGTCTACACATCGGAATTGGATGCCGGATGAGGTTGGATGCCCAAAACTGACCTCGTGAGACCCAATGCTTTCATGCTTTGAACTTGCATTCCAGTGAATCAAAAAAACACCACAACGACTGCGGTAAGTAGGCGATCCTCGCTCTCCTCCTCGGTCGCCTCCATCGTCACACGCCCCACTGGCATCACCTGACAAGGCCTGGATCGTTGGACCTCGGTTTCCTCTGTGATGCCAGCCAGGCGTGGTGGGGGAGGACTTGGCGTCATGGCAGGTTGCAGCGCCATCCTTTCGCGAGGCTGACGGCCAGTCAAGCCTGAGAGGATTGGTGCCTCGACGACCCCCGCTGTCAGTGGTGCAACAATTTTCACCTGGCGCCCCCCGATCATGTACGTGCTCGGCTGACTGCCTTTCGGGAAAGGCACGGCCGCAGTCGCTTTGGTGGCTGCACTGGGCACCGCACTCGCTTTGGTGGCTGCACTGGGCACCGCAGTCGCTTTGGTGGCTGCACTGGGCACCGCAGTCGCTTTGGGGGCTGCACTGGGCACCGCAGTCGCTTTGGGGGCTGCACTGGGCACTGCAGTCGCTTTGGGGGCTGCACTGGGCGGTGTTTGCTTCCAGGGCGGCAAAACCCGAGCCGTTGGCTTTGTCACTGTCGCGATTGGCGCTGAGTTTTCCGCTGCTGAGTTTGGCCGGGAGCTTTCCTTTGCAGCATCGCTGCTTTGGGACACATCCTCTTCGCGCGGCTCCTCTTCGTCCGAGTCCTGCAGCGATGTTGCCGATGTTGATACATGTGTTTAAGGCCTCTCTGCCCTCCAACCTAGAAGCGATGGCCTCCAACCTAATAGCGATGCCCCCAACCTAATGGCCTCCAACCTAGTAGTGTTGTTGGCGAAATCATTGACATAAAGCCGCTCTTCAATCTTAATGCAATGTATGCCTTGCGACACTCCACAGGTCTTTCACGCCTCTCACTTTTAGCCGGGCCTACCACCTCAAACACAAACATCGGTGCAATATGTTTCGTAGTTTGGTACTTCAGCTGCCATTATATCTGCCAAAAGTTTAATCCACCAGCAACATTCATTGAGTGCACCACTTAAAGGCTTGATACAAGAAATCTCAATTAAAAAGGCACACATACTCTCACAACTCTCTCCACATATCAAACAAAAACACAACATCGCCAATTCTCCGACCCTTTTAGGGTTTCATCAATCTCACCTGCTGCAGACTTTTATGATGTTTCATGCGCTTAGCAGTAGCAACGTCCCAACAAGCTAAACTTGGAGAAAACAGTTAGAGTTTATACGATCCGCGGGCCCAGTTTGTGGTTATGGAATGCATACTTGCCTCGGAACTAGCCGAACCCGGCTCGGTGCGAAGGCGGCTCGGTTCGTCTGGTCATCGGAGGGAAGCATTGGCGTCATGGCGGACGATGCGCTGGGAGATTTGGTGTCAGGAGATTCCATGTGTCAGGCAAACCTGACAGTCACACACAATAGCCTCAGGCGGAATTGATGCAAGATTGGGGGAAACTGCACCAGGAAAGACCCTACAAGGTCCCAGGCGTCCACCGCGTATACGGGTCTACAATAACCTTCACATGTGTCGACCTGTATGCTGACAGTTGATTCAGTAGTTGATTCAAGCACCTCAGATGGAGCTGTTGGACGATTCAAGTAATTATATAAGTTCTTTGTAGATCAGCAATCAACATTAGACTCGAGTGCGGTGCTCAAGCGTTGCCGTTGTCCCAATTCCTGCCTCTGCTTCATTGTCTGTGCCCTGCAGCAGGTTGGTCATGTGATTGCGAAAACGCCCACCGACTCTTACAGCAGTCAATGGAAGCGACGTTTCTGCGGGGTTGCAATGAGACATTGAAGGAGCTGCTCATTATTGGATATAGAAACAACCTGACACCACCTCATTTGAACATTCCATGTGCTTCAAAACACCAAAAGAAACGACATGGTCCACATGGTCACTCCTCTTCTTTACTCCCCTATTCCAAACCACATGGAAACCCCTGCTACCGCCCGGTCTTCGGAACAAATGGTACGTCCAACCACCGGTCGATTGTGATCCGTCAGCGGGGGAGGAGTGGCTTTTAGCCAGCGGTCTGTCTCGACCAAGGTCCCCGCGACTTGGTTTTGGCCTTTTGCCGATTTTCTCGTATACTACTAGTAGCACAAGGACGCTACTAGGAACAAGCGCATCGCTTCTAGTAACAAGTGCCTTTATAGGAGGTGGGACTGATTATGAGGTGCCATGGTTTTCAAAGGCCTCCGTCTCTAAGCACCCAAGATTCCAAAGCGTGTTGACATCAAATCATGTGCAGATTCAAATCCGGGGCACGTTCATGACAAACCCTGAAAATTTAATTAAGGCCAAATGAGCTTCGCATACGTTAGCAACCTCCCTTCCAAAAGTCGCCCTTCAACCTTAGAGGTGATCACCAAAAACATCAAAAACCGTTCTATATAATCCATCAACAAGAAGAAAGATCGCTTTGACCAACCGAACCTCATCTCGAAATCTTGGAACTGGAAACACCCAACCCCTCTCCCCTCTCGCGTCCTCATCCCCGCTTTGACCAACCGCTGCAGTCCCGCTGCAGTCCGCTGCAGTCCGCCTGCGCGATGATCACCTCAATCTCCTGGACATCCTCTCCGTCGGGCGGCGGCTCGGGCACCGGCTCCGCCTCCGCCGGAGCGCCCTCGGTGTCGGCTCGGGGCTTGTGCGGGAGAGGAGCGAGGAGCGCGACACGGGAGAAGAGACACCGGAGAAAGAGATCAGTGAGCCTAGGTATCTCAAGTCTTCAGCCCAGTCCGAAGAGAAGAAGGTGTGAGGGGAAGGAATCGTTCGATCTTGTCTTTTGACACTCAATTGGCCGAGGTTGGTTGACATCATACAAAGAATTTCAAAGGGTACATGGGTGCTTATGAGAGTGACATGGGGTGAAGTGCTGATGCTGGGATGGACACCATGTGGAGACGTTTTGCAACATACCAAAGTTAAGCCAAGTCCAACTTAGATTAATATAGAAATACTTATACTTAGTAGGTACTTGGCTTTGAGTTAGTTTCGACCTAGGATTACCCAACTGAACTTACACTTTGCGTTGGCTGAGCTTTGCACAAATACATGTTTGTGTGAAAGAAGGCGGCGGCCTTGTTTGTACAAGTCCCTTGTTCAAAATAGCGGTGCCACCCCACAAATTCAAGCATTATGCACTGTCTAGGAAAAAACGCAAACGGGAGGTCGGCCTTAGATGATGAAAACCCCCGCACGAGCGGTCACTCCAAGCTGCTTTCACCAACCCAGGCGTCAGCAATCCAGGCTGCATAGGCAAAGGTTTTTCGAGACTTAGCCAAAAACTGCCGGTCAGGGTCTTCAGCAAACTATATACATTCTCCTCAGGATTCCTGGTCCACCATTGGTTTAATGGCCTTTATCCAAACTAAACAACCATTGTTTTACTAAGGAGTTTAGGCTACAAAACAATCTCAACCTTTCTTTCAATGGCCTTGGAAGGCTAGAGAGCAGTTTGTAGATATATAACTACATTGATAATCATTGATATATGTGAATGAACGCATGGTCCAAATGCAAGAAGTCATTTCCGGACATGACCCGAACACCTGTGCCGAGCGGCTTGTCGCAGTTCTGTAGGATCTCAACATTGTCGCGGGCCCGGAGCCTCCACACCTCCTACCAAACGGTCGGGCATGGGGTTGCATCCGGCCGGCAGACTGGTGCGTTGTACCAACGGATGAGGCAAGACCCGCAAAAGCCCCAGTCTTCCCAAGTTGAATTGTTCCAGCGAAGCCGAAAAACAAAATCTGTTTGACTTTAGATTGACGGAACTGGTGCGATAGTCTTGCAGGGCTTGTCTGTTACGGTTGAGTGCGCTCATGTCTTGGCAAGGAAACACCGTGAGAAAAGCAGCAAGCGCGCAAGCAAGCAAGCGCGCAAGCAAGCAAGCGCGCAAGCAAGCAAGCAAGCAAGCAAGCAGGCAACGCAAGGCAAGGCAAGGCAAGGCAAGGCAAGGCAAGGCAAGGCAAAGCAAAGCAAAGCAAAGCAAGCAAAGCAAGCGCGCAAGCAAGCGCGCAAGCAAGCGCGCACGCAAGCAAGCAAGCAAGCAAGCAAGCAAGCAAGCAGGCAACGCAAGGCAAGGCAAGGCAAGGCAAGGCAAGGCAAAGCAAACCAAAGCAAAGCAAAGCAAAGCAAGCAAAGCAAGCGCGCAAGCGCGCAAGCAAGCAAGCAAGCGCGCAAGCAATCAAGCAATCAAGCGAGCAAGCAAGCAAGCAAGCCAGCCAGCCAGCAAGCCAGCCAGCCAAGCCAGCCAGCAAGCAAGCAAAGCAAGCATACAAAGCAAAGCAAGCAAAGCAAAGCAAGCAAAGCAAGCAAGCAAAGCAAGCAAGCAAAGCAAGCAAGC